AGCAAACCCAAAGCGAGACCAGACAACTTAGGAGCAACCCAAGCAAGACAACACGATCGTAAAAACAAGACAAGTCAAAACAAGTTCAAGGACCAAAAAGCCGAAAAGACAAGTTAAAAGCAAGGCAGTCAATCTAAAACAAGACAAGACCAACTTGGTTAGAAGCAAGACAACAACGATATAAAGACAAAAGACAAGTCAAGACAAGTCAAGACAAAGAGCCGAAAAGACAAGTAAAAGCAAAGCAAAGTCAAGCCAAGACAGCCAGTCACAGTCACACTCCGTGAATAAGGAGGTGTGGGGGAGGGGGGAGGGGGGTGTTCTTCATTCTCAATTAAGGAAACGGATTTTTTTTTTTTTCTTTCTTTTTCCTTTTGCGTTTCTTCTGAATCTTTCTTTATCGTTTATTTCTTTCTTCTGTATTTTCTTAACTTTCTCTCTGCCTTTTTCTATGCAGTTTTGTTAAGGGACAGACAGAGAGAGATAGAGAGAGAGAGGAGGGGAGGAGAGAGAGAGAGGCGTCTCCTGAGAGAGAAGAGAGAGAGAGAGACGAGAGAGAGAGAGAGACGAGAGAGAGAAGAGGAGAGAGAGAAGAGAGAGAGAGAGAGAGAGAGAGAGGAGAGGAGAGAGAATGAGAGAGAGAGAGAGAGAGAGGAGAGAGAGAGCAAGAGAGAGAGAGAGAGAAACGGGAAAATGAAAGAGAGATTTCCTCATTCTTTGTGGATTGTTTATGTTATGTGGTTTTTTTTTTTCTTCTTCACTCCCATTCAGAATATCGGTTGCATGACGTAATAGTTTTCGAAAATGATTCCTTATGCCCGACATCTGTCAATATGGCTTCCGTGTGTGGTCGTGTGTGTGTCCAACGGTGTGTGCTGCGTGGTGCTTGTCTGTGTCACTCGTCGTCGGATAGTGGTGTGTGTGTCGAGTGTGTGTGGTGTGTGTGTGGTGTGTGTGTGTGGTAATCAGTGGTGTGTGCGTGCTGTGACGTGTGTGTGTTGTGTCGTGTGTGTATGTTGTGTCTGTGTCTTGTGTCTACACTCATCTCGTGTGCTGTGTGGTGTGCTGTTGTCTTGCTGCTGTGTGTGTTGTGGTGTGTCGTGTGTTTGTGTCTCAGCTCGTTCGTCTGTGTGTGTTCGTGTGTGTGCTAGTGTCTGTGTTGTGTTCGTGTGTGTAGTTGTTGCGTGTGTGTGTGTGTCGTGCTGCTCGTGTGTTGTGTTGTTAGCGCCGTGTTGTGTGTGTTGTGTGTGTGTGTCGGTGTTGTGTCGTGTGTGTGTGCGTGTGCTGTGATCGTTCGCTGCCTCTCGTTCGCGTTTCGTTGTGGTGGTCTCGTGTTCAGTCTCGTGTCGGTTCGTTCGCTGTGTGCTGCTTGTTGTATCTGTTCGGGTGTGGTCTGTGTTCGTCCGTGTTGTGCTGCTGTGTGTGTTGTCGTTGTGTGTGTGTCGGAGAGAGAAGTCGATGTGTCTGTGTTCTTGGTGTGTGTTGTTGTGTGTGTCGCTGGTGCGCGATCTGAGAGAGAGTGTGTCTGTCTTGTAGATTGTGTTCGTCGCTGTGTTGCTGGTGTCTTGTTGTCGCTGGTTCGTGGTGTTGCTGTGTCGTCGTGGTCGTGACGAGAAGAGAGCAGTTCAGTAGAGAGAGATGGTGTGTGTGTGTGGTATGTGTTACTGTGTACTGTGCGAGTGGTGAGAGAGAGTAGAGAGTCGTGTGTTCGCTTCGCGTGTTCGTGTGCGTGTGCTGCTCGTGTCGTGTGTTGTGTGGTGTGTGTGCGTCGTGTTGTGTGGTGTGTTCTCTTGTGTCACGTGCGCTCGCTGTGTGTGCTCGTGTGCTGTGTGTGTCTCAACGTGTGCGTGTTCGTGTGTGTCAGTGTCGCTCGTGGTGTGTCTCTTTTCAACGATCGAATCGTGGTATCGCTTATATGGGCCCATATGTGTTTTATATGTGCTATCATGTGTGCTATCTTATGCGATGTGTGTAAGCATTCTCTCCGTGGATATCCGTACACACGAGAGGAGTTAGAGAGAAACACAGACAGAAGAGCACGAGGTGGGGGGGTAGGGTAAGATAGAGAGAGCAGAGATGTACGAGAGGAGATGAAGAGAGAGAGATGAGAGAGAGAGAGCGATCGCAGAGACAGAGACGACGTAGAGAGATAGACGAGAGGGGAGAGAGAGAGAGAGAAAGAGAGGAGATGAGTGAGGAGAGAAAGAGAGAGAGAGAGCGAAAGAGGGATAGAAAGGGAGAGGAAGAGATGACGAGAGAAAAGAGAGGAGAGCACAGAGAGGAGACAGATGAGTAGATAGAAAGTGAGTAGAGGAGACAGAGAGAGACAGGAGAGACAGATAGTAGCGAGGGGAGAGAAAGGAAGAGAGAGAGATGCACAAATTAACATTTGCACGTTCTCTGCAGCTTTCAATCGAACCTCGTCCAGTCGTAAGATTTTTTTTTTCTTTTTTTTCTTTTTTTCTTCTTTCTCTCTAACGGAAACGACAATGATCATCTCAGCGGATAAGAAGTTGTCGTTGACATGAACTGCTGGTATAGATCTCTCTCTCATGCGTTCTCTCTCTCTCAATCTATATCTTCTCTCTCTTCTATCTCTCTCTCTCTCATCGATCATTCACTTTTTATTTAGCTAATTTCCGCCCTAAAATCCCCCCCCCCCTTCCTAAATCTACAATCTTCCTTACATCTTTTCCCTTCCGCCTGCATTCTCTCTCTCATCTTCTCTCTTCCTCTTTCTTTTCCTCTCTTTCTCTTTCTCTCTTCTCTCATCTCTCTCTCTCTCGATCTCTCTCTCGATCTCTATCTAGTCTATCTATAATTTCTCTCTTCTCTCCTCTCGTCTCTCTCTCTCTCTCTTCTCTCTTCTCTCTCTCTTATCATTCGTTCCATCTCTCTCTCTCTCATCCTCTCTTATCTCGATATCTCTCTCCTCTCTCTCTTCAACCTATCTCTTCCCCCTTCTCTCTCTCTCTCTTGTTTCTGCTACTTTATCCCTATTCTATCTCACATCATCCATTTTTTTTTTTTTTTTTTATAGCTTTTTTTATCTCTTTTTTTAATGTAAAGAATGGGGGAAAAAATATTTCTATTCATACAAGTACATTTCTTATACGTCATCACTTCTAATGCCCAATATTTCATCTCTCTAATAAGCTCAATTTTTTTTGGTCGAAGGTCTCTTTTCTCTTCGCCTTCCTCTCTTCTAATACCTTTCTTAGACCCCTCCTTATGGTCGCTGTATGTATCAATTGCTCCTTTTTCATCATTAAACTAATCATTTTTGTTGATATTTCATCCATGCATGTGACTCTCATTCACATCCGCTCTTGCTTCCCTCATTATGAATTGCTCCGGCTTTCTTCTGTATGTACCTTTACTCCTTCTATCCTCGCTGTGTGTGTGCAATGTGTGTGTTCTATCATTATATAATTTCAATATGTACATGATTAATATTTAATCTATCAGTTATTTATTGTTATATATTTGTTATTATATTACAGTATAATACTATATAAAATTTAACCTAATTATAGCATTACATTATTTAGTCATATTAAATAGTACCATATAATATTATTACTATATAATTTATAAGTATTGATATGTATATATTATATATTTATATAATAATATACTATATATATAATATATACTATATATGATATATATAGATATTAATTTATAATTAACATATAATTAATGTAATAAATTATATATATATATTTAACATATGAATAATCAAGATATATATTATTATATATTATATTATTATAATATATATTAAATATATAATATATAGTTTAAGTTATTTATTATTTTATTTTTATTTTATTTTTTTTATTATTATTCTATATTGCTCTACTGTCATTATTATATATACATACTAATACAACTATATATAATAATATAATATATTATATATAATATAATATTATTTATATTATCAAATAGTATTATGATCAATTTACAACATATATTACTCGATAGTTTATAGTATATATCATTTACTATATATATAAAAGTATATCTAATATATTTTACTATTTATATATATATATACTACTACTATACATATTCAATCAACATATATGTTGTTTTGTTTTACGTGTAGTTGGGATTGTAGCTGTGTGTCGTGTTTGTGTGCGATCTTAGATGTGTGATTTGAGTGACATGTATATAAACATACGCTGTATTATGACTAATGCATTAGCACTTAGAATTAGGATTGCGATCAATTGTCATTATGTAACCTGTTTGTGATTCAAGTATAAGAAGATATCAAGTCAAAGAAGAGAAAGGGACCCTGAGAAACAACGAAGGATAAACAAAGGGAATAAACAGACTTTATTCAAGGTAGTAGTGCGAAATCCAACAAAGGTATATATCTAACAGATTCTAGCAATACCCCATCCCCTCTCCCTACTGCACAAATGCTCTATAAGTTTCTCACCCTCAGTATCACTGCTCACCCTTTCGATGAGCGGAAACGAAGACCAGATAAGTAAACAGCCAGTAATTTACAAGATGATTATTAGTGAAAAGGGAAATGAATCTCTAAGCCATCTTTCATTTCCCCACAGAATTCAATGCGACGCTATTGGAATTCATCCAAATACACTAACATCGTTTGATTGCTGAAATCTAATCACTAGGTGCAAACGCCTCACACAGTTTCGACTTGCAACTACACACACATCACATGCACGCACACACAATCACCGAGTTCAACGCACCATCACAACAATATACAAGACACTCACAACCTCGAAGTTTCTTTCGCTTAATCATTTACATCTTCCACTCATCCTCCTCACTACGGTCGTCTCGCTCAGTCTTCAACCTACGTCTCTCTCTCTATCACTCCTTCACTCCTCACGCATCACATCATACCATCACGCCTCTCTTTACCTCTCATCCACTACCATCACACAACCCCCACCAGCTACCACCTGCGCACACACTCGTCTCTCCAACATATCTCCTCACCACACATCCAC